ACACACACACACACACACACATCCCAGGTACAACGTAACCTTTGGGATCTGAAAAGAAGAAGAGGTGCTGGAACCGGAGAAAAAGATCAACTTAACCGAAGATCAACTCAAGCGAGTTCAACACAAACGGGGTCGATTGTATTTCACACTGCCAACAGCTTCGCTTCTCCAGGAAGGTCAAGACTTTACTATCTCTAGACAAGAAAGGCATGTGTAATATTCTGGAGACAGCCGATAACAAAGGGTGTTGACTGACAGACAATTCTTGTGAGGGTCACGTTATTTGGGTTTTGGCACCGATAGAGGCTAGTGGACATTGGAATTTGAAAGTTTGAGTGCCTTGAAAGAGGAAGAACGTTTTATAATAGTTCGCACCAAGCGCAAGTAGTATACCAATTCGCCTTAACTATTCAACGTTAATTAAGTATTCAAATTCAAATCGTTCAAAATTAAGCGACGAAGTAATATTATGGGCACGCCAGAAAAGTATATGTATAATAAAATATAACATGAAAGTAGCCCTCGGCCAATGTTCATTATTTTGACAGATTTCGCCAGAATATTCTGTTTGGTTTGCCAATAGAATTAACGCGCCTGGACACACACATACGCAATGCTAGATCTATATTTTGCTCTAATAACAATAGGAATGCAGGTTCGTGGAGATTTTTGAGTGTTTCCTTGTTATCGTTTGAGGAATATTCTGTTATTTTCAAATTTTTTAAAAATTGTTTTGAGTTGTTGTTTTTATTTGAGTTTGTTGTGTTTTGTCTTTTGGTGTTACGTGTGGTTACATTATTTCTTTTATTTGGTTATCTTTTTTATTTTTTAGTATGTGTGTGTGGGGGGCGGCTTGTTGTTATTAATGTTGTTATTGCTATTGTTGTTGTGGCGGTTTTGCTTCCGTGGCGTAACCTACTACAAGACCAGTCGTATTCGCAGAGCACATGAGCAGCCAAGCACACTGTACTATTGAGCTTTATCAAACTGTTCTATAAGATTACTGCCCAAATTATACCCGAAAGGTCAACAAAAATGTAACAACAACAACAACGACGACAACAACAAAAAATTAACAACAACAACAACAACAAACACAACAACAACACCAACAATAACAATAACAAACAACATCAGCAGAAGAAGCAACAACAACACAACAACAGAAACAGCAGCAACAGCAACAGCAGCATAAACAGCATCAACAGCAAAAAACAATAACAACAAGAACAATTATTATTATAGCAGCAGCAGCAGCAGCAGCAGCAGCAGCAGCAGCATTAACAACAATAACAACAGCAAAAACAACAAAAAGAGAAACAACAACAACAGCAACAACAACAAAAACAACAACAGCAACAAAAGTAAACAAGCAGCATTACTCGTCACATACATTTAAACCAAACACAGAATGTATAATATAATAATATGTTCTTACCAACATGTTCTTTTCCGTTGATAAAAAAGCGTACTTCCTGCGTGCTGAGTAAAGAGAAAAAATGGAAACAAAAATTAACATATTTTCAGTTTACGTTGAGACTTACCAACAGGAGCCCTTTATTG